AACATAACATAACATAACATAACATAACATAACATAACATAACATAACATAACATAACATAACATAACATAACATAACATAACATAACATAACATAACATAACATAACATAACATAACATAACATAACATTAACATAACATAACCCCTGTTACAAGGCTGGTTGACACAACCTGTGGGGTTGGTTGGCACAATATTTCGGGTTGGTTGGTCCAACCTTTCGATTGGTTGGGACATACTAAGACATGATATTATTTGTTAACAAAATATTATTTACCTAAAACTACAAAAAAAAACAGAAAGTGCCGGAGGAAAGTAATACAAAAAAGTTAAACCTAAAAATCATCGTCTGAATCACAATGATCCAAATTTGATGATGCATGTATTGCGATCTCCGAAACTGTTAGAAATAGAAAAACGGTTAAATGAGGAAAGTTTTAGACAATTCTGTTTATAATTCAATGCCGTTTAGTTTGAGATTTTTTCTCTTTTAATTGTTGAGATATTTTGGAAACACTAAATGACACATTTCCGAAAATATCCTGTTTTCGTTACGTGTATACACCAGAGCCCGTAAGTTTACGTATGTACGTAGACGTAAACGTGAAGGATATTTTATTACGCATGCGCAGATGTCAAATTTCACGTATACGTTTACGTTCATAACATCACTTCAACTCTCTAATGTTACCAAATCTACGAAAACGTAAGGAAATCATTACTCTTTAAGACTACATTATCACAAAATACATATCTCTTACCTATTTAACCACAATGCATTCGCAACCAGGACCACGAAAAATACAGTCACCAAAATATAAAAAATTGCAATGTTTTCTCGTTGACACTTCTCAGACTACTAAGATCAACAGGAAATGTGTAGTTCAATTCCCTAAACGACGAGGCTAGGTAGTAAGGCGATACTGCAATGAACGTCGAACATATTATATTCACGATTGCCAACTAACTCCGTGTGCCAACCAGCCCCGGTCTCCCCTAACATAGAAATTTGATATGTATACGGTTGATTGAAAATGGTGTCCACGAATGTGGAAACGGTGACTGATCGGGTTTAAAACGATTGAATAGATAATTAAAAGACCACCTTCCAAATGATTTATCGTATGAACCACATTTCTATTTAAAAAATCATCGCGTCATCCCTCTAACTTAGATGACGTCACAAATAAAAGGGATATTTGAGATAACGCGCGTTTGAAAATAAAAATCGACAGGTTTCATGATTTTTCCAAAAGGGAATGAGTTACGAAATAATGAATTTATTATATTGATTTGCATACTCGTGATACAACACAAAAATAGGACCATTTCGATAAGTATGTATTTAATTTAATTTTTTGTTGATGGAACCTTGTACATCTATATGAATCATGTACATTATATGTGTTTAGTTATTTCTTATGTTAGTGATGACGTAGACTCCACAATCGGTGAATTGGCGTATATTTCTAAAAATTTAAAGATCTATTGTAATTTAAAACAAATTATTTTAGGTAACCGTATCTGATAACTTGGCAATTAGTGATCATTTTAACAATCTAAATATCTCCGATATAATTTCCAAAATCGTTCTTACCACCCAAGATGCTGCTATAGAAGGATTGGTTTCTTTCTCAAAAAAGTGTCGAGGTTGAGGAGAAAATGATAGTTGAGGAAAACTTGTCTGCTAAATTTTTTACAGGATTTGATATACAAGATTGGTATAAAAAAGCTATTTTTGTAGATAAAGGCCTACTTAAAGGTATGTTAAAACCAAGTATATTTCGATATTACAATAATCGATAATAATTTTTAGGGCACTATAAGATGGACTCAGTAGAGATTAACTCAAAATTAACAACAGATTTTATTAACAGTTTAAACATGTCAAGAATTATACCTTTAAGATCAAATCAAAGTATAGACCATCTCCAATTTGGACTTTTAAAATTTGTAAAAAACATCCCAGTTGGCAATAAAGTAAACGAACTATTTTTACCTGATGAATTTCAAAGAACTCTTATGGTAAATATTTTCCATTACGGTTGGCACTTTCTGGTAGCACTAATATTATTTTACCTTTTTCAGAAAGACACCGATCAAGACATTTTACCTACTACAACTTTCAAAAACATTTTAGTCCGTCAAAATTTAAAATCTAATATTCTTAACAATAAAGCATCATCCAAAATCGTTACAACAAAGACGCATCAAAATTTAACAGCTAAATATAATTTTAACTCAAAAATGATCTTAGATTCTCATTTAAATGTACATGGTTTAATAAACAAAAAGCATTATGAAAAATGGAAAGCGAATACGGCTTAAACTGAATTCAAGTAAAACTTCTATTATCACCAATGAGTGGAACGTGCTCAAAAATTTGACATTTGAAGAAGACGTGTATGGATATAAAAATATAAGTGATTTAGATTTTCCAACAATAGCGAAAGAAATACGGGATAGAAAGATTTGAAATATCAGTTGGAGCATGGAATTATTGTAAGTATATAGTTATAGTTGTGTTCCTATCTCGATGGAGGATGGACATTGTATACTAAACCAGTCACAATCAAGTGTGCTGAACAAAAAGTGTGTGCTATACCTTTAAAAAATAAAAATGTTTATTTTTAATATTAATTTAATCCTAATTTTTACGGGATGTTCTGATTAAACAAATATGGATATTGAGCATGGTGACAATTCGCCAGGGGCGTGCGGTCCATGGAAGCGGGGGAAGCACCGCTTCCCTACACTTTGAGATTTAAAAATAAATATTTTTCAGTTTACAATGCATAGAGAAATGAATATTAAATTAGGTAGGAAAGCGCCTCTTGAAAAAGCCGGCTCATCTTCCAATTGATTTCGCTTCGTGTTATTGACCCTGCTTTACCACGACACAGTAGTAAGTCTGTTTGGGCACGTTAAATACGGTCGAGAGGCAGCGATTTTTACGTCGCCTTACGCATATTGCAATTCGCACTGCGAATCGACGTGTGAGGAAAATCTTAGACTTCAGATAGATTTCGGTTTGTTTTTCGTAGATGTTTCTCTTTTTGTAAAATGGAGGAACTATGCACTGTGCCTGTGAACAATAATAATGTGGTAAATTGTGTCTGTATTGTGTGCTCTTTATTAAAAAAAGGATTTTTAAGTAGAAATTTTGAAGAGAAAACGGACATTATTAATTCTAGTAGACTAAAGGATCCTATCAATTTAGAGACGAAAGTAGAAAAGTCAGCAAAGAAATTTACCAGGCATTTTCACATAAGGTTCTATGAAAAGTATAAATGGTTAACTGGCTGCAAAACTTTGAAAAAATTGTTTTGCTGGCCTTGCCTACTTTTTATTATAGCCAAAAAAACACATTGGAACTCAGTCGGTATTACAGACTTGAATAATTTTCATAAAAGTGTAAAACGACATGTAAATAAAAAATCTCATATAAGTGCTACAATTAAAGAAAAAACATTCGGGACCTATCGCATTGAACATAGTTTGGACAATAATTTAAAAATAAGCAAGAAAATTAACAATGAAAGGGTAAAAAAAAATAGGGACGTCATACAACGATTAATAGATGTAACTTGTTTCCTGGGAGAGCATGAACTAAGTTTTAAGGGGCACAATGAAGCTGGTAGATCCGCCAATCGAGCAGATTACATGGACCTTCTACGATGATACCCTAAAAAATCATATTATTGATTAGACGACTTTCCGAGGTACCTCAAACAGAATCCAAAATGATTTAATTAAATGCACTGCCGACGTTGTGATGGATCACATTAAAAGTGAAATTAAAAATGCGCCTTTCGTATCAATTGCGCTTGATGAAACCACAGATGTAGCAAACTTAAGTCAATTATCCATTTTTGTGCGATATGTATTGGATGGCATTCCTCAAGAGCGATTCTTAGGATTTTTGGACGTCACTAACGAACGAACTGCAGATGCATTGTTTAGAGTGTGGTTCTAAGCTTGTTGCCCAGAGGTACGATGGTGCTGCCGTAATGGCTGGCCATTTAGGAGGCCTACAAGCTAAAGTGAAAGAGAAGTTTAAACATGCAATTTTCGTTCACTGTATAGCACATAGACTTAATTTGGTTTTATCGCGAAGCATGGATAATATTAAAGATTGCGAAGTTTTTTTTTTCGATGCTTAGTGGTTTGGCTTCCTTCTCTTCAAAGTCATCGAAAAGAACTCGCGCTTTGGACATTCACGTTCAAAAAAAGTTTCCAAAAGTTGCTCCGACGCGATGGAACTACAATGGAAGTTTAGTGCAAACAGTGTTTCAATACCGTGATTCATTGATACACTTTTTTTAAGACGTTTGGGATAATAAAGAAACATGGGATACTGAAACTGTTACTGCTGCTAAAGGGTATTTGCATTGGCTCAAACAAAACTTTGATTTCAATTTTTTGCTCAACATTTTTGCAGAGATTTTCCCTTTTATTGACATTTTATTCGACATTTTACAGACAAAGTCAAATGGCTTTTGCATTAAACAAATTGATAATTTTAAAAATAAAATGAATAAAAAACGAGATCAGTTTGAACACTTTTGGAATAAGACTCAAAACATTGGCTTAGAACCTGAAAGAAAGAGAATTAGATTTGATAATGTTGGCGTCGTCGATTATACGCCGAAATTTTTGATAATATTTTACAACAAATGAACTCTCGATTTCAAAACTTTAACGAATTAAAATTTGTTGAATTGTGCAATTTTAATATTAGTAACTACGATTCATCAAAATTTCCATCGGAAGCTTTTAATTCAATAAAATTAAATTATGGAATTTTTTTCGATATTCCAGCATTAAAGTCCCAGTTAAGTGTTGTTTATGAAACAACTGAAATTAGTGATAAAAAGACGCCCACCAATGTGTTAATTTTTCTTATAACAACTGGTTTAAATACGTCCCTTTGTGAAGTCGTCAAATTGTGTGAATTAGTACTAACCATCCCAGCCACAAGTGCGTCAGTTGAGCGAAGTTTTTCAGCTTTAAAGCGCATTAAAGGTTTTATACAAAATTTAACAAGTGAAGACAGACTCTCTAATTTAGCCCTAATATCCATTAAAAAACAGCTTGTTAAACAGTTATCAGAAAATTCAAAATTTTACGACGATGTTATAGACAAATTTGCAGCCATTTAGAATAGGCGAATAGATCTTAAGTAAAAATAAATGTCAACTACTGTGTCACCTGTGCGAAAAATGCTGAAAAAAATAAAAAAGAAACTTATTTAGTAATTTTTTTTTTTACGTTTAAATAAACCAAACAAGCTTTTCAATGGTAAATTTTTTACAGCTTTTAGCTAAACTAGGTAATAAAGTAATAGTAACACTTCAAAATTCTCAATCTCGAATATCCGTAGTACTGAGGGAAAAAGCAAGAATTTGACAAAATGGTGAATGCGCCGCGAAAAATTTTCGCTTGCGGCGCTGTGCTTACTGGCCTGCTGTATTTATATACAATCGCTTCCCCTTTCAAAAATGTCACGGAACGCCACTGCAATTCGCCACCCGAAAATAATTCTAACAATTTGGTAAAACAGAACATTCAGAAAATATTTGATTTAAATAATCGAGATCAAATAACGGATACTGGTCCATATTTAATTTATTTAGAATACCAAGAAAAAAAAATATCGAGAGGCTTTTTCCCGATTAGAAGAGGCCGCTTTTACGAAAGTCCCTGAATTTAAAAAAAAAAAACATTACAGATATAAAACCTATAGGATTAAACAGAGTAAAGGTTATTTTTAAAACATACACTGTAGCAAATTTTCTAGTAAATCATGAAGTTGTCCTTAAAAATAAACTAGTTGCTTATATCTCACAATTCTACACACACATAATGGTGTAATACGTATAATTGCACATTCTTTAATACAGATTACTTAAAAAAATTAAATAAAAAACCGACAAAAACTCACACATTTTTTTATTTATTAATTATAATAGCATTAATGATTTTGCTCAATCAAACATATAAAAAGCAAATTACTCAAATAAAAATTAATGAGAGACTTGAGTTTAAAGCTGAGGAACAAGATTATCAATATTGGGATCAATATCACTCCCTAGTACATAGGCGCAGTGTTTTCTAAATTAACATCTGTAAGCCGAGTAAGATGCTTATTTTTATTAATTTTCATGATTGAAAATAGCTGCTCACATTTATGCGTGATTCCAAATGTGCAAATTATTTTTCGTGCGAAAACTCTCAGCTGTGGATACTTTTCTTTGGAAAGGTATGTTCTGTAAAATTCGCTTAGTTCCACATCATTAAATTTAGACCTCAAATATGAATCTTCTTGAAGCTCGATCAATTTCATTTGTAGATGAAGCGGAGTATCTTCCACATTACATTTACAAGGATTTGCAAAAATATTGTGCTATCCATGTTCTTAAAATCGGAAAATCAGTAAATTGCTCAGACAGCAGTTTCAATTCTTCAGCATAACGACCGTATTCAATGTTTTCGTGACTGGATAATGTTGAAAAATGAATACAATTTTTACTTCTTATTTGTGTTTCTCACAAGCTAATTTTGTTTTGAAAAGCTATAAGATGACTGTACAGTTGATTTACCAATTGCCCTTGTTTTTGAAGCTTCAAGTTCAGGTAGTTTAAGTCTCCTGTAATGTCTACCGGGAATGCTAAGTCATAAAGCCAAGTTGGATCACAAATTTGCGGCAATGTTTTCTCTTTCATTTCCATAAAATCAGCATTTTTTTTAAGGTCATAAAATCTTTTTAGCATTTTACGTTTGCTTAGCCACCTTACTTTGCAATAATATGTCACATCATCGTGTTCTGAAAAAATTTCATCCAAAAAATGGTTTAAATTGGCGATCCAATGAAATTAATGGTATCTACTACCACATCCATAATATTTTTCAATCGAATTGACTTAGAGCTCAAGTTTTATTAGTGAATAATGCAATGTAGAATTATTCAATCACTTTCTTGCACATTCATAGCGGTTGCTCTTTCATTCAGAATTCCGATAAAACCTTTTCGTAAACGGACCATTGAAGGCGCACCATCCGTGCACACTCCAACTAATTTATACCACTACAAACCATATTGCTTAAGAGCATTAATCAGGCATTAAATCCTGTTCTTTGTTTTTTGGCTTTGTTTTTGAAGTTATTCGATTGCGGTTTTCACTGTCTGGTTCAAAATAATTTTCTTAAGACTGCTCTGGTCGTATATTTTTTAAATAATTTCTTATTGAATTTTAATTTTTTTATTATTTCACATTTAGGGAAAAACGTTCCAGAGCAGTCTAGATATACAATTTTCAATAACTTTTCTCCAAAACATAAACTATCTAATGCAAATAACAAATTTTTTAAACCGGAAATTCAAAATTCATGAATAAATTCGTCCTAATCTTGGTATTCGCTACGTTAAAAAGTATCGGGCAACACTGCTTCACAGAGAAGCTCGATGCATTAAAGCGCGGAGACAGTGCTGGTTTTGTTTC